AGAAGAAAATATGAAATTAAAAGTAAAAAAGAGCAGCCTGCTCGCAAGCACGCTCCTCCAAAGCCACCCGTCCCCAGCAGATCCCTGATGGACACCACCACACTGGAAGATAAAAGTCCAGAAAACAGACTTAAGAGACAGGTCCAGTCCTGAAGACCCTGCTCCTTCCAGCTGCCAGGACCTTCTGGGACTTGTCCCACCTCCCACCAGCATGACTGGTTTCCAGTCCCAGAGGTAGCCACTCCTCCACCATGACAAGGTCTACCAAACCATCCCTATCTCCCAGTCCCTTGCACATTCCCTCCCCTCCTTTCCCTTGAAAACATCAGGTTTCTGGAAGCAATTTAATTGTGAGTTATAGCAAGGCTTCCTCAGGCAGTGTGGATCGGACTGGAGGCCCTGTTCTCCCAAAATGTTTAACTTCCCCCCAGGGCAGCCACACCAGGGGCCCTGCAGACTCTGCTTGGCACGGAGAAACATCACTTTTGCTTTCAAAGCCTTTCAACTAGAAGGAAAAAAAAAATCAGTAATAACAAATATCAAAGCAAAGGTTTCCTTCCCTTTGAAGGGCAGGAGGGAGAGCAGCCAGGTGAGGGCTGGACCTGCCCAAAGCTCAGCAAGCTGAGGGAGACCTGGATCCTGCAGGGCTGGAGGACCGAGCACTTTCCTGATGAGCTTTCTTTCCAAGCAGCAGAATGATGCCTTAGGTGCAAGAATTGCATTGAAATTCAAATCGGGGTTTTGAACTCTCTCCTGCCCCTTGGGAAACCTCCTCAGTGGAAATGCAGGATAAAGAGGAGGGCAGGATTTGATACCCTGGGGAAGGGTGGGGGGGAAGGAAAGCAAGCTGCCCCATCCTGCTGGGAGGAATGCTTGAGCCAAGGGGCACTGGGCTTGCCAGTATACCCCTGTTAAAGCTCTGCCCCACGCCCCAAAAACCCCAGCACTGGACACACCACATCTGCCCCTCTTTTCCCCATGCTGCTCCTGGTGGGGTTTTACTTGGGGGCGTGGGGAAAAGAGGGAAAGGAGGGAGGAAGAATAAGAAACCCCATATCATAATTGCTATATTAAAGAGAAATAGCAGGCAAGAATAATAAGAGAGGTGTCAGAAGTGAAATACAGTAACAGACATAAAAAAAAAAAAAAAAAAGACTACAGTTCTGCGATGGGGGTGTTAATTGAACACAGAGCTGGAGAGAACAAAGGGGTGTTAAGGAAGAGAAGAAGGGGAAAAATCCTACCTCCTCCAAAGATCTGATTTGAGTTAAGTTTGGTGAAGATAATGCACAGGGAAAGGTAGCTAAGAGGCACCTTATATAGCTATTATGTTCTAAAATTAAAAAAAAAAAAAGACAACAAACCCATTATTCAACAACAATTGCACGGTTAATCAGTGCTGTCTATAAATATTCCACTTTTGTAAATCCCCCCCATTGGTGCTATGTACGTTTTTCTTTTAATCCCTAATTCCTTCAACACAGGAGGGAGAGGAGGGTGAGAAAATATAAATTGTGGGATTTCAAATGCAAAGTCAGGGTTTTCTTAAGAAGTAGAATTTGCCCCATGCCCTCACCTCCCCAATGAGTGGAGAAAGTGAAACGATGGGAAAAGCTCTTAAGGAGGAGGAATCAGATTAAATGGTCATATATCCTGTGCTCAGCCTCTCCCCACCGGTCCCCGCTGAACGAGATGGGAGTTGGGAAAGGCTCACAGCTGAAATAGATGCTGCTGCATTTTGACAGCAGATATTTTCCAGTTTGCCATCCAAGGACCCCACGTCTGCGTACGCCTTGCCTGATTCTTCTGCTTAGCTATTCTGCTCATGCAGAGAACAGCTTAAAAAAAAAAAAAACATACCAAGAGAGAGGGGAAAAAAACAAGGGAAAAAAAAAATAAACAGCCATAAAGACAGAGACCCTACCCTTGCCTTCAAACTTTTTATAAATCAGGAATGCAATTTCCGATTTCAATCCCTATTGATGGAGGAATCAATTGTATTTAGGACAACAATGCCTCCCATTTCCATAATTATTATTCCAAAAAGCCAGCCAGCCAGCCATTTGAAGGCAGTCCTGCCCCTTCCCTCGCAACAAAGCGACCAACAGCAAGTGAAAACACACCAAATGAACGCCGACAACTTCGATGTATATTTAAGAAGCAATTTTTTTCCTTCCCCTACATCCTCCTGCCTGGATCAGACCTCTCAACTTTTATTACTTTTAAACAGATATCACCCCAAAGGTCTGCAGACAAAAGGCAACCCCCTGAGCTTTTTTTTTTTAATCATTATAATTTTTTTAAGTGATAATAAATACTTAAAATAACTGAAGAGCCCAAATGCAAAAGGCGACTCTTTGGCCAGTGGAGATGACCTATTTTTGTAAGAACTTTATGGACACTTTGGGTTTGCTCAAGACAAGGTTAACACTATGAAATAGTAGCCATAATGTTGCGAGAGATGGTGGTAAAGTCTCTGTAAGGCTCTGGAGTCACTTAAATCAGGCAGCGGGGTAACCGAACGCACATTTCTGCACATCATAACGCCGGGGGGAAGATGTACGCGCACACTTTCAAACACCCACCAGTGACCACAAACAATCACCAGGATTTCAAATGCCACACATGCAAAAATCTGGGAAGCTAAATGGAAAGTGGGAAGCGAGAAGTTGGCTCAACTTTCACGCCGCTGCCCGCAAGGAAGGGGTAAGCAAACAGACGCAGGCGGTACCCTCGGCCCCAGAAAAAACAAGGCAAACTTCCTCCTAGCATTGGGCCCACAAAGCAATAATTTAAAAAAAAATAATAAAAATAAACCGAAACCATCTGGCTGTTTGCTTTCTTATGAAGTGTGACTTTTGGGGACGCAGATGGGGTGGAGAGGGGAGGAGGTCTTTGAATTCGCAAAGTGAAAGAATTCACCGCAAACATATCCAAGGGTAGATAAACAACGCTCCAAAAGCCATCTCGAGTCAACCTCTTTGGAGACCTCTACAGCACAGCCCCGTAAGCCAAGTAATCTAGGCACAACACCAACAAACAGCATTTATAAAAATGTAAAACAGCCCCAGTTCACACCTGAATATCCTTATTTCCAGCAGCATGCTTCACCCTATACCATCTCTTTCCATTTTTCCTCAGCAGACAGGAATTCTCACACCCTGTCACTGTGGCTATGCACAGTTCCTCATCCCTCCTCAGCACACTGGGACCTCACAGCATCCCTGAGCTCACCTGGCTTTCCCCACTAAGTTTGGTCCCAGCAGCAGATTTCTTGCTCCCTAACTTTGCCAGAGCGAAGCTGAGCTGGGATTAAACAGTTATCCCAGCCAAAAAGTATCCCTGCACAGGCAACATATGGAGCACCAAATACACTTAAAGAAGAGACAGGCAAAGACGGACACAAAATTAAAGAAGAAAGAGAAAAGAGGGAAAGGAACTCGGTAGCTCCCTTTTTTTTGTGGAGGCGCATGGGGGAACGCTGTAAAATCCTGAACCTCTCTACACAGACTCTCTCACGTTACAGCATAGGAAGAGTTTGGAGGTTCCCATACCAAACCCGCTGCTGGTTCTTATGGGAAGTCTGTAGGGAAGGACTCCTCGGGAAGGTCAGAGGCGGCCCCGCAGCCGGGAGGACTCGGGAGAGCCGAATGCCATCGGTAGGTGCTTTGTCTGGGCTACACGCTGCACAAACAACGCTTAACAAAGGGCCCTCTTAGTCATTTTATATATATTGCAGGAGTCAAGTAATTGTATTTTCAATCAGCTGCTCATGCTGGGAGGTTTTAGTTATATATATATATATTTAAGAACAGGGAAAAAAAAAATAAGACCCAGTTCAGGTTTCTGAAAGCTGCTCCCCTTTTATGTGTAACTATCAATGTATATCAACTGGGTGTGCAATCATATTTATTGTCACTTTCATTCATGTCATGCCCTTGCTTATATGGCTTAGATATGAATTATTGACTGTTTCAGTCCTTGTTGTAAAGAGGGGGGAAGGGGGGGAAAAGTCAAGTACTTTGCAGCGTGCTAAAACAAGGCAGCTACGGCGGCACGGGAAAGCTCACAGATCAACTCTGGTCAGCTCAGAAAGCCAACAGGAGAGATTAACCACCCCCCAAATTTCCACCACTCCCCCCACTTTTTTTTTTTTTTTTTACATTTCTATTAAAAAAAAAAAGGAGAGATTCCAACAAATACATAAATAAGTGGTGCATGTTGCTAAATGTCCTTCCCTGAGCATCTGTTGTTTAAGATCACCCTTGATTGATGACTGCTATTTTTTAATTGTTGCTTTTAAAATTTAAATGCCCCCCTGGGATGTGTTATAAGTGTGTTAGTACATGGTAGGAGGTCTGGAAAGTGGGAAACAGCAGAACCAACGCTCTCATGCCATTAGCTTCTAAAGAAGCCTGAGAACACCCCATGCCATAAAACAACAGTACCCTAAAGTAACTAACAATCTAATATATTGCTTTCACTAAAGGCAACTGACAACTCGCTCTTACATGAGCTAGCCTGGATGATTGGCAGACAAGAGCATTTTAACTCTTTCTTTTAAAAAAAAAAAAAAGTAAGAAACCTTTGTGTTTACCTGAATACTAATGGTAATAAAACTGCACAGTTTCATTTTGTTGGGATTATTCCCCCACACACCCACTCTGCATTCACATTTTGTTTTTTAAGCAGTGCCATGTATTAAAGAAGAAACTAGAGCAAGACAGAAATTACAAGGGGGTTGATTTTTTTTTCTCCCCAGAAAAAGCAATAAATAAAGAAAGGCTATACAATAGAAATTAAACCACGATATTTTCTCCTCTAGACACAAACCACATCATGCAAGTCCACTGCCAGAAGCATTAAATACCAACGAGTTATTTCTCCCCACTTAAATACTACTGCATTGGTGGGGGGGGGAGGGGGGAACGACACAAACTTGAGGAGTAAAATCCCCAAAGAACAAAAACAATACAGAACCAACAGCACTGATTTCCTACCTGTTTTTTCTTTGATTTCACACAAGACATTAAAAAGCGCCGGCTTCATCCTGTGGCAGTTTAAAGCATGTTTCCTGGAGAGAAAAGAAAAGAGGGGAGGGTGAGCTCAGGATGTCATCACGAGGAGCAACTTTCCAAATTCACGCTGGCTGGCATAGGGCTGGCAGCTTTGAGCCCCCAGTGCTGCAAACAGCCACCTACCCAAGGCAGGGGACATGAATGTCACCAGTTTAGGAATGAAAACCGCCTTTGCCACCGAGCAGCTCCACGGCCGGCGCGAGGCAGGCGATGCTCCACGGCAGAGCCAGCAGCTTTTGGGAGCCAAGCTCGGATCAACTGTCTTGTTCAATACACAGCACTGGCCTCTCCCTGTCCTCCACCTCCAATATTACACCAGGCCATGTGCTTTATTTGTGAGGCAGAGGGGCAGTAAACTCCTCCTTGCCCCAGTGCTGGAAACATCCCCTGCTTAGAGCTGTCAATTCAGGGAATTTCAGTGCCCAACGTGGAGCACAGAAGGACACATGGAGAGAGAACCCCATTCCTCTGCCTCCATGCTACTTACATCCAGCTTATTTGCAGGTGTTAAAATTTAATTCTTGACAATAGGGACAGTAAACACATTAAAAAATCACAGCCGGCTGCTTCTGGGAAGGGGAGGGAATGCTATTCAACGCTGCTCCTTTCGGCTGCTGTTATTCCAGAGCTGACCATTCTCCTGTGGGTTTTGAGGAGAGACTTTGGGGAGGGGGCGCTTTAATTGGCTGGTTTTAAAACCCACCACGCGCCCTCTGAGGCAAAGAAACAGCGTGATTTAATTTTTTCTCTTGAGCCATAGGGTGATTTAGCCAAGGGTTCAGCTGCACACAGGGCTGTTGCTATCCGGCGCCGGTTACGGGGATTTCTGTTTACCAACCAAAATTACACGCGAAAGATGATGTGAACATCTGGCAAACATTCACACTACTTGCCCCACCACCCACAACATGTTAAAAAGATTTATATATCTGATGAAGTCTCTCAAAGGTATATACCCTTGCAGAACCACAGCGTTCCCTTATCAGCACACCCAGATGGGCGCAGACATTTGGGTATACGCAAATCACGTACATACGCTGTAAGGGCGCTCTTACAAACAATGCTGGCACTTTGCATCTTCCAAAAACTTAATTTAGGAAAAAAAAAAAAGAAAAGAAAAACCAAACAAACAAAAAAAAAAAAGGCAGCAAAACAACCGTGCAATAGTAGGACGGAAGGAGGATATGCAAAGCCAAGTTTTATTGATAAATAGACCATGTTTGCCAGCTCAGAATTAAAAATAATAACAATAATTTACCAAAAAAAAAAAAAAAAAAATTTAAAAAAAAAAAAAAAGAGAAGAAAAAACAAAAAAACAAAAAAAAAAAAAGAAAACAAGCACTGTGAGGAAGCAGCTGAAATAGACCAGCAAGGCAAACCCATAAAGCCTTCCCCTAGCTCTGTTCTGCTTTGGTTTTATTGATTTGATTAACTACACTAAATTATCCAGGCAGGAACACACACGATTCCTGCAACTTTCCAAAGGAAGAGCCCCTCACTGCCCCGGGTCTGGCCGGGGAGAAAGTGAATGATTTCCTCCTCCTCCTCACAGCTACTCTGCCCCTGCAAGAACATAAGAAAATGAGTAAGATCAACCCTACAACGAGCCTTTTTGGTAAGCGGGAACTCTAGAGAAACTGTGGAGGCAAGGAGAATGGAAGCTAAGGTTTGGGGTACTTTTATCCCTCTGCAAGTTCTTAAGCGAGTTTTGGGGCTGTGCGGTGCGATTTTCCAGGAACAATGTATTCTAGCAATCTGCTTCAACTCGGGGCATAAATATCAGGAGGAAGGACAACACATGAAGCAGCTTTGCAGCCCAGAAGAAATATCAAGTGTAACCCAGGCAATTCAGGGCAACTTTTTTGTCCCAATTCCTTCATTTGAGGTTTTTTTTTTTTTCCTCCCCTCCCTGAACTTTTGATAGTGCCTTTGAAGGTGCGCATTAGGTTTGCACTCCCCGAAGCGCAGGACAATTCACACACCGGCTCTTATAGCCTTGTTTTTTCCTTTTTAAATACATCTGCAATTAAGGGGAAAAAAAATAAAAAAGGCAAAGCTTCTATGAGCATCTTCAAAGCGCTGAAAAAAATAACAGCACTACACGGGCCTAAGAAAGAACATTATTAGCAGCCCTAAAAGCGGGGCAGCACTTCGTGGCTCTTTCGGAGAAGCCCGGAGCGGAGCCCACGACCGCCCTCCGCAGTTAAACCCCCCACCCCAAAAAGGCCGGGAAAAGCCAGGCCCAGTTTGTGGATGGAGGGAGGGGGAGGCTGCGGGCGCGGCGACCCCTCGAAACCGCCCCGAAGTTGGGAGGTGGGAGAAAGATGGGAAATAATAAACGGGGGGCGGGGTGGGGGGTATTACCCGGTCCCCTTTCTTTTCCCCTTCCTCCCTCGCTACATTTCTCCGCAGCAGGAGCAGCAGCACCCCCGTCCCCCGATGCTCCCGCGGCCGGGCGCGCTCCCCCCGCCGGACAACAAAGGCCGGGCCGGGGCGCGGGGGAAACTTCCCGGCACCTGCCCCCCCCCGCTCCCGCCGCTCTCACCTGGCCTGCGCCTCGTCCAAACTCTGGTCCGTGATGGTCATGATCTGCTGTAAGATGTCTCCGATGTCCTGCTTCCTGCCTGCCTCCCCCTCCGCCCCGCCTGGTCCATCCTGCATGTGCTGGGACAGGCCCGGGTGCCCCGGCATCCCCACCCCGCTGTGCGTGTGCATCAGCCGCGGCTGGTCATCCATCGCCGGCCGCCGGCCCCGCTCCGCCGCCGCCTCCTGCCCTGGCTGCCGGGAGCGGCGCGGCTGGGCTGGCCGCCTGGCTCCTTGCTTTCTTTTCTTGCTCGCTTTCTTCTTCTTCTTTCCTCCCCCCCCTTCTTCCTCCTCCTCCTCCTCCCCAGCCTCTTCCTCTTCGCTTTTTATTTATCCTTCACGCTGGCGCCCGGCTCCGCGGCGGGGAGGAAGCGCCGGAGCTACCGCGACCGGAACGCGGCGGAGCCCCCGCGCACCGGGGGAGGGCTCCAAACTTTCCCCCACCCTGGGGCCGCGTTCGGGGCTGGCTGGGCCCCCCCTGCGCCGGGCCTGCGCGCACCGCTCCGGCCCTCGCCGCCTGCTTTTGTTCGGCTCCGGACTCCTCAAACTGGCACGGAGGAGCCCGGGGGCGGGGGGAGGAAGGGGCAGCGGCGCCGCCCGCCCCCCCGGCCCCATTGGCGGCGGCGGCGGCGGGAGGGCCGGCCCGCGGG